GCAATGCGTATCCTCTCTCTCTCTCTCTCTCTATATATATATATATATATGTTCATAAATATGCATACTATCTCACACCTTTAGTACGATTCGGAGTTTCACGAACGGTGCACTCTTCGGGTGCTGAGCTCAAATTGATTGTTTTACGGTTTGAATCGAATGGAAGATTGAAGTTTATAAGCAGTAAATTCGACCTTGCCTACCGAACGCTCGTTTGTGGCCGAGACGGTCAAGGCACGTCAGCGTAAATGACGGTTCCGTATAGGATGCAGGTTCGAATCCTGTCAAAGGACGAATATTTTCTATGAAAATTTCTCGGACATTCAGGCAGGTAAATGTTATTTAATACTGTTTATTATAAACGGAGCATTTACTTAAATACTTGTATCTATAAAAAAGAACGTTAAACATAAAAATGTCTTTAATATATATATATATATATATATATATATGCTCTGTTTCATCACATTGAGCACTGTTTCGTGAACTATATGTGCGATATTTTGTAATATTATAATTATTGGATGATAAAAAAATGTTCGCGTATACTTGCACGTACATATAAATATATTTCTTCCTCGGGTTTTATAAGTAAAATGCTCAATGTTATGTAACAGAGCTATAAGTATATATATACAATATCCAAAGTCGGTAGCACGACTCGGAGTTTCATGCAGTCTTCCAATTTTCAGGTACTGAGTATATTCCCATCACGTGAAGATTGCAAGACCGCATAAAACTCTGAGTCGTGCTATCGACGTTGGATATTATGTATATTCACTAATATATATATATATATATATATATTAGTGAATACACACACACACACACACACATATATATATATATATATATATTAATGATACAGAAACTCTATCTACCAGACGAATGATGGTTAACTTTTTGACAAAATGAAAAAAAATTCTATGTGACGCGTTTGGAATCAAAAAAATTTCGCTTGAAGATGGAGCAGAGCTTACTTTAACTCAATTTAATTCAAATAATTATATTGAAGTTTTCAGCTCTTGTTTTGAAATATGTAACCTCTTATGTCGCGAGTTGGAATCATATTTTTAAATAAATAATTATATTTATGCTCTACTTTTGTATCGAGCACTATTTTTAAAAATAATAACTAAAATACTAAGGAACTTTGGATTATTTACCTAACCAGTTCCTTCCTATTTTCTATATATTTTTCATATTATATATATATATATATATATATATATATATATATATATATATATATATATATATATATATATATATATATATATGTTTACATACGCTCTATCCCTGATATTAAGCACGTCATCCCATAAATATAGCACAACTTAAAACTAGATTTCTTCATAAATATATATATATATATGTATATATATATGTATATTATTCTTAAAATAAAACTTGAATATCGATATCCACTAAAAATAACGTTTATAGTGATATATATATATATATATATATATATATATATATATATATATATATATATATATAAAAAGACGATGGACATAAAAGCAATACCAATCCAAACAGATAACTGAAATCTTTTATAACATCAGCGTTCCGTTTAAATATGATCACGTCGTCGTCACGTGGGCGATGTTATGAAAACGTATTCCTAAAATTTGAGTATTTTAGATGAAAAACGAAAAGAATTTTATTTTGATCTAAAACTTATATGTACGTTTGTCGAGCATTAAGCACGGTGAACACTAGATCTGGCTTCTTTAGTATTTCCCCTTTTCTAGCAAGATTAATGCTCGACAAACGTACATATAAGTTTTAGATCGTCTTTTTCATGTTGAATTGTATATGGTCTATGTTAATTATGTTTTTATGAATATGTCCTGAAGATGGTCTATTAGACCGAAACGTCCGACGTTGACATTAAACATTAAAACAGCATAATCGCATATTAGGATTTTTGTTTTTTTTTTTCAGTATATTTTTTCTTCATATATATATATATACATATATATATATATATATATATATATATATATATATATATATATATATATATATATATATATATATATATATATATATATATATATATATATATATATATATATGTATTGTTCTGAAAATAATACCTGCTTGCCATTTTCCTACAAACTCTTAAACTATATGTGATGCTTTTACACCATCTCCTAGTGATTCTCGCCGCATTACTGACTTTGAATTTTTTCCTTTATTAGCTGGGATTTGCCATAGTTTTTGGCAACTATAACATAAGCGCCTTCCTGTTATTTTCTCCACGGTTCTGCATTCAAAGAAATCCTCGATGTGTAGACGATGTAATTAACAGCGGCTCGCAATGAGAAATACAAAAAGGCGTGTTCGAATTCCAGTCGGGTTCGTTATAGTCAGTTACGTGCAAATAACCTCGTGCAATCATGAATCGAAAAGTGATTGGTAGAAAACAGACAAAACACGAGAAACACTGGTATTTATTATGACAATCTCTGGCGAAGCTTTAATAAAAGTAAAAATATCTGAAACTGATACAGGTTTTCTATTTGTTCTTTTTATTTTATTATCCTGTCAGATTCCGATCCATATTTGATCTGTAGTTAATCTTTAAATCATATATATATATATATATATATATATATATATATATATATATATATATATACAGTAAAGGACATAAATCCGTTGGCATATAATCCAAGTCAATCCTTACTTAATATCAACATTAAGAAGTTGATCCAAGAATTCGAAAGTTTAAAATAAAATAAACATAAAATATCCAGATTATTCTACCAAACATGCTTGTATGAAGATATGCTGCACACACACACACACACACACACACACACACACACACACACACACACACACACACACACACACATATATATATATATATATATATATATATATATATATGAAAAAAAAAAAAAAAAATATGTTGTATGAATATAGACGTGGAATATATATATATATATATATATATATATATATATATATATATATATATATATATATATATTGGATATAAGAGACACGGAAATTTAAATTATTTAATTTTTATTTAGTTTTTGCTGCATTCTTACATTTTAGTTTTGTGGCAATAAAACAATGCTTATCTATGTTGTTTTTTTTTTTTAAGATTTAATAAAGGTGATATGTTTTTTTCCGTGTCTGTGTTTTGAATAGATTTTATACCCAAAAGAAATATATATAAAAAAAAATAAATTTTAAATTTAAAATCTCCAGAGTTGATCATTCGAATGTGTAGTTGCATCAACGTAAACAAAAACTTAGTCCGATGAAATCTTATCTATCTATCTATCTATCTATCTATCTATACATACACACACACACACACACACACATATATATATATATATATATATATATATATATATATATTATTATTATTATTATTATTATTATTATTATTATTATAAGAATCGCTACACAATTGTAGTCCTGTTTCAACGCATAAAAATGCGTCTCCTTAGGCGACTGTAAATTACTGGCGAGTGAACAATTAATTTGGTTTCAAAAGCAAAATATATACGCACTTTTTGGAAAAAAAAATAAGACTAGAGGGCTTTAGTTAATTAACAAATCGAATATAAACTATGTTAAATTCAAACAAAGCGGAAAAGAAAGTAAAAGAAAAATTATTATCTTAGAAATGTGTCATGGCCAAGAGTTGTCATCTAACAGCAGCCAGATGGTTACCTAAAATGTACACATGCCAGACAGTCAACTTTCATAAGAGACAAAAGCGCTGGGTGAGGTAATAAGGTAATTTAACCGAATGACCCACAAGTTATATGCTTTGTGGATTTCCTATATGAATTTTTTGTAGTTGATAAATAAGAGTCCTCATTAAGGAACTAGTAAATAATCTAAATATATAGTTTACTCTAGCGTATATATATATATATATATATATATATATATATAAAAAAAAAGAGGTTGTAGTGGTTCCAACGAGAGAAAAGTGTATATATTAAAAAGAAGAGAAGAGAGGTGCCGCAAACGTTTTTGGTTGTAATGTGGATTTATTTAGAAAAAATATTATGCTTTGTTTTACATAATTTTACGACACGTGTTTCTGGTCTCGCGACCGTCTTCAGGTAAAAGTGGAGATTTCTACATATTATTAAAAATAATTAATTTTTCTTCATGTTCAATGTGAAATAAATTCGGATTACCAACACACAAACAGAGAATGTCTCATATCGAGAATATTTCACATTGAACATGAAGAAAAATTAATTATTTTTAATAATATGTAGAAATCTCCACTTTTACCTGAAGATGGTCGCGAGACCAGAAACTCGTGTCGTAAAATTATGTAAAACAAAGCATAATATTTTTTCTAAATAAATCCACATTACAACCAAAAACGTTTGCGGCACCTCTCTTCTCTTCTTTTTATATATATATATATATATATATATATATATATATATATATATATATATGATAAAATATAATTTTAAGGTATGCTATAATTATAGATTAAAAGTGTTCACTATCTCAAATAAAAGCTTTGTAAATAGAAGAAGTGTGGAAACACCGAGTGACGACAGTCTGTTTCGTGGCCTGAAGATTGCGTTCAAGCATGAAACATGTTGTTACCACTCGATGTTGACATCAGTATGCACGCACATTGAAGTTAACTCCCCACTCATTCCCTTTGTATTCCATTGGTGAGATTTAAGTTCCACTCGAGCAGCTTCCTCCCCCGATCCGCTAATTTTGGAACCGATTAGCAGAAGGATGCTTCCCCGATTATTAGAATCTTAACCTGTTCACGTGTTGGTTTAAGCATTATCTTCCCCACAGATCCCATAAACCATGCTTCTTACTCTGTAACCCTCTACTTCATGGTTCTTTGGCCTTGTACAGAGTCAACATCATTGTAATATATATATATATATATATATATATATATATATATATATATATGTCGCGAAAGAGAGAGAGAGAGAAAAGAGAGAAGGTGGGAAGAGGTGAGAAACAGAGATAGAGAGAGTGAAAAAGAGAAGTGTGGAAAGAGTTGGGAAAGAGAGTTTGTGAGAAAAAAAAAGAAAGAAAAATGTAGAGACTTGCGAAATTAATATATAGAGTGGAAAAATGATATGGATGGAGAGAGGTGCGAAAATGAGATGGGGAGAGTGGGAAAGAGAGAATGGTAGCGTCAGATGCGAAAGTGAGACGGAGAGAGGAAAAAGAGAAGGTTGGAGAAAGGTACGAAAGCGAGTGAGAGAGAGAGAGAGAGAGAGAGAGAGAGAGAGAGAGAGGCGCTAATGAGAGATAGCAAAAGTGAAAGTATTCATTATTTGCTTTTTGGTTTTCAGTTTCACGATTATCATAAAGACAGTTCAAATTTATCCCAAAACACAGGCGCTACACTCATCCTGTATCTTGCTTCTTTCCAGCCTAGCCTTACGACGGAGTTGGCTTAGGTTTTTAAATAACGTTTTTTAAGACTAGCCATTAGTTTACGTGCGTTGCTCGATTGTTGTGAGCGAGAATATTTCATTACAAGTTTGGACTAGGCCGTCGGACGAAAGTCATGAAAATACTCCTACATCAAGAGGAGTAGCAGCAGCAGTAGCCTTTGCTGAAAACAGTCTTTCACGGTTAAACATTCTTTTCCCTAGTTTCTATTCTACATTATGCTTCCCAGTAACAAAAGGTAATAAACTTTTTAAACCAATTCCGGGTTCCTACTATTGTTTTTGATAACACCATTGCAACACATTTCTTTAATTAGTTTTCAATTAAATTTTAAAAACTGAGATTTGCTCGAAAATGGATGGACTCAGTCAGGGTATGCTGCCTTAGTACAGGCGGTGGCCCTTACAAGAATCGTGATACTTTTCTGGTGGCACGCACATTCACATACACTCACACCCAAAAAAGGCATACACACTCATTGGGCGCTTCAATGTGGTGTAACTGCTAGTAAGCTTTTCTTGCTAGATCAATTATGACTGAATAGGGATTTCGATCCTCAGTGGATGCTCCACACTTTCGGCCTTGTGCCACGTCTAAGCTACGCTTAGAAAATCAATTAGGACACCTCGACGTAGTTTAATGATTAGAAAACTCATACTCTGCCCCTTCCAGAAGAAAAGCCTCTTCCAGAAGACGAACCCCATTTGGACTAATGTCCTCATCTTTATTGTCATATTCATAACGTTTCGGTCATTGTACACTCCGGCTTTCTTCAGATGATAGACGTTGGAGTTTCGAACCGAACCCTTTATTTAGTTTATGGAGATATCGGTTCGAAAATGCAGGTTACGTGGAATTCAAACAATATATTGTTTGAATTCCACGTAACCTGCATTTTTGGATATCTCAGTTTTCAGTTAGTTCCCTTCAGTAACTAAACTCACCGAGTTTTTGTTCACCTCTGCTGTGGCCTGGTATTGAACTCACAACTCTTTGGATCAAGTCTCTTTTTGGATTACTTCAAGTAACGATTTTATCAACTGGGCCTTGGTTCCCCAGTGTTAGTTGAAGTAATTCAAAAAGTTACTTGACCCAAAGAGTTGTGAGATCAACATCATCGTGGCGGCCTGAACGATGGTATATGGATATAGTGCGCTGCCCAGACCCCATGTCCCCACTCTCGGCAGTACCAACAAGATTCAGATAAGTAAAAATCATTATATTTGCAGCCGGCCTGGCTGCAGTAACTGTCAGATTTGTCAGTATTGACAGCCAACTGGCTTCGGGGGATTCACTCCCTTCCCTTATAAATGCAGCAGATTAAAAAAACAAAAAACAAAAAAAAAAAAACATAATTACACACACACCTTTTAATCAAAACAAATAAAATATTTATCTGCATTTAGACAAAATTAGTTACCGAGCAAAGTGAACCATTTAATTAATCAGTTCCTTCACTGCTAGGTCTTTTAAATTGCAGTCTTATTTGTTCAAGCCTTTCATGTGAGGCACTCAGATAACTTTGTAAGTTAAGTGATCGTCTTACTTCAAAACCTGGTCTTGAAATAGGCTTTGTCGTCGCTGTCTTTGTCGTTCTGTTACTAATCTCTTTTCTTGGGTACCTAGAAGTGGTGTAATGGTTAGCAAGCTTGTCTAGCTAGAACAATTACGATTGAGTAGCGAGTTCGATCCTCTCTGGGTATTTCCTACTTTCAGCCTTGTGCCGCATCTAGGCTACGCTTGGAAAATCACTGCTAATCTCTTTTCCTCCATAGATATTTCCATTTCACTGTTATATTAGACACATAATTTTAGTTGTCAATTCTTTATCTACGCTTTATTGAGTTGCAACAAATAGTTTCAAAACTTATGTTTCATTGCATGTCGCCATTAAAACTTTCTAACAATTGTCATCATTTTTGACGGCATTGACACACTATTTAGGTATTTATACAAGTTTGATATAATTTCCCTGTATTTCTTTGACGAAATCTAATATACACACACATTTTTAACACCATTATTCAAATAAAATATATTTCTTGACATTCTGAGAATTTATATCACCGTAAAAGAACAATTCTTCGAGCAATATCGCGTTGAAACAAGCCAATTTTTCATTGTATCTTTGCGTATTAGTAGTTTGTATAAGTTCTATTAAATCATAAAAAATACTTTACTGTAAATCGCGCCAAACAATGATTATCTTCCCTAGCAGTGTTCGTTTAGCTTAAAATTTTGAAGGTTGTCTTAGATTTAGTTACTATTTTTGTTGCTTTTCGATACGTGTCATGAGTCCATATTTAATTGGCAGTGAATTTATTTTCCAAAAATGTTGCTTTCTTGTAGATTATGTGAAAACCAGTTTCCTATTTGTAAATTCTTCCTAAGGCATGTCGTAGTGTTACTACAGATGACTGGTTACACAAGTAATAAAGAACTTATTAAACTTCAAAGACATTTCTAAGATTTTCTAAACGTCTACTGTGGGAACTTTTATAACAGTTGGCTGATAAAAGAATTTTCAACAAGTCACAATAATAATGATAATAATAATAATCGTATTATAATTCTGCTTGTCCCCATTTCGTTAGTTAGTTTCTTAGTTAGTTCGCACGACCGTTACGCCCTGCCAATACCTAATAAATAATGGGCTATTCCGTTTTGACCCCGTGAAAAGACGGAAATGACATATCAGAGACGGTACTTGGTTTCAGTGAGAAATTGAAAGAAAGAAAGAAAGAAAGAAAGAAGTGAAAATGGATTGGTTTAACATCTCCTGTTATAGCTCATTGATTGCCTGGAAAGTCGCATAAAAGACAGTACTTGATTTTAGTGAGGAAGGAAGGAAGGAAGGAAGGAAGGAAGAAAGAAAGAAAGAAAGAAAGAAAGAAAGAAAGAAAGAAAGAAAGAAGAGTCTAAAATCTGTTTCAAGGTAGTGGAAAAAAGTTGTACATTATAAATCTTTTCATGATTGTTATTGCAATATTTTATTAAAGATGTTATGCTCGACTATACGATAGTATACATACATATATATATATATATATATATATATATATATATATATATATATATATATATGTGTGTGTGTGTGTGTATATATATAGGCAGCATGATGAGTGCGTTTAGCAGAAAACAGCCAGTCACCTCTAAGTGTTGACTTCAATGTTCACTTTTATATTTACACACGCTCTATCTCTGATATTGAGCACTTTATCCCTTAAATATAGCACAACTAAAAACTACATTTCTTCATATATATGTATATATATATATATATATATATATATATATATATATATATATATATATATATAGATAGATAGATAGATAGAGAGAGAGAGAGATAAATAATATTAGTGGTCAATATATATATATATATATATATATATATATATTCCCAAGAGAATAGAATACAGGTAGAATCCAGGACAGTGTAAGAATATAATAGAAAAAATGCTCAAACACTAATATTCCATGGTTATAATTTATTCCATTGAAATCGTAATCATGATCCAAATCATCAGACCTACAAATTCAAAAAGTTGAATTTGTAGGTCTGATGAATGGATCATATATATATATATATATATATATATATATATATATATATATATATATATATATATATATATTAATATCCAGGATTGTACGATGCTGGTTCTTCTGTCAAAAAATCAAGGAGATATAACTACGAAAGAATATAATTGGAATTATGGTATAAAGCGGTCATTTAAATTTTTTACATTTCATGAAGTTAGGAGACCTCATAACTATTCAGTGAAAAATAATAAAACCGTGTAATTTTCTCGGGTAGTTCTCGTAATAATAAATGTTATATTATCAGACAATTAGAATCATGTTAAAATTTATCATGCTCCTATTTTGCCTAATGACCTAATATCATTATTGTTATTATTATGTCTTTTCAAATTTTTTTCTTCAGTCTCCGATACATAGATTCTGTAAGAAGCCTTTTCTCTCTCTCTTATATATATATATATATATATATATATATATATATATATATATATATTCAATAATAATTTTTATATATATATTTAATAATAATATATATATATATATATATATATATATATATATATATATATTTAATCAATTGACCCCATGAAAGCCACTAAGCCCGAAGTGAAAGTATAAGATAAAAACATTATTAAGGATCGAGAGTAAAATATTTTTCTAAGATTTCTCGAATATTCATACATGTCCAGAAAATAACACAAGAAAAAAATAAAATAAAAAGTATATTGACTGTCGTTTTTATTGAAACTTACAAAGATTACTTAACTTTTAAATATCAATTTTTTGTTGTGCTTTTCCCCGACTTCGAAGTTTCTTGGTAAATTTCCGTTCCTCAGGCGGTTCTGATTTTAAATGATACTTCCAATTTTTTCTATTTGTTGCGTGTCTTTTTCAATCCATTACTTATTCATGAATTTAACGTTCTTTTACACGCGAATGTGCAGGAATTTTTATTCTTGTTTATGTCTTCATTTTTTCAGCTGTAGATTTTTCTTCCAGTTGTAATTTTTTTCTTGGAAATTAAATTAAATATGCTATGTTATATTATTTATTAAAATGGGATATATATATATATATATATATATATGTGTGTGTGTGTGTGTGTGTGTGTGTGTGTGTGTGTGTGTGTGTGTGTGTTGTTCCATATGGGGCCTCCTATGTAAATCACTAGCGGGTCTTAAATGCCACTTAAGATTATCGCACAAACTTTCATAACTGAATCAATAAGCTGTCAGATCCTCATACGTCGAAACCGACGAGAGAGTCCATTATATATATATATATATATATATATATATATATATATATATATATATATATAAGAGAGAAATCGAAAATTCAACTGGAGTCTTTAGGTAAATTTATTTAGAGTAACCTTTTCTAAGATTTTCAAAGATATACACTGAGATGGAAAGGCGTGTGGTTATGCTATTTATGTTTCGCATCTATATTACGATGAGACAAGTAATTTTCAAATGTTGGGAACCAATTTTAATCTCAAATGCATCATCGTTACTACTCTCATACGTAGAAGTTTAGAATAAATATATCAATAGCCGGAACCTAAAGCATGCTTTGCATCGTCCCCAGACCACAGCTCAACAGACATCGAGTTGGATCTGGTCAATATCCAAAATAAATAAAGTTAAATAAAACAATGCTCGCAACACAATGCTACTTCCGACGTTTAGCTTCCATTCTACGTCATTAATAATGGTCGCTACGAGCGCGTTGTGTATTTTAACACAACGTTGAAAATTTCAATTGCATTTGTAAAAAGAAACCGCAAGAGACTGACACGTATACAAAAACAATACCCTCTCCGGTGGCAGAAGCTGTTGGTGGCGCCAGGGGTGGCAGTACCGCCTAACCCACCGAAACTATGTTACCTCTCCTGGTTGGAGGCTGACGACGGCAGGGTATCGCACGTGATTTAACACGTTGTATGTAGAGGATATACTACACTAACATACGTTATTTTTTCTATTTGCACGGCAGTGACAGTGTTTAAAGTGAATTGTGGCATAGATTTCTTAAACCCACTAATCGTCAGATTTACTGTGAACTTATATCTCACAATGTTACGAGAGTTCAAGTATGGGAATACCGCTACGGAGACATCTAGAAAAATATATACTGTTTATTGTCAGGAGTCGAAATTGACCGGTAAGTGTTGCAAAGATTATTTTTGGAGAAACGTCGTTGGCAGTTGAAACTGAACCCAGACCGGCGCGTTCATAAGATTTGGATGATAAAACTTTGAAGACATTAATTGAAAGCAAACCACGGTAAAATACTAGGGAATTATCCAAGATGTCAAATGCATCACAATCTACCATATATAAACATTTAGAAATGTTAGAGAAACAAGTCCAAAAATGGAAATTATCCACAGTTTTAAAAGCATTCGGCAAAATCCCGTTTCGGGATCGCTATCAGCTGTCGAATTTAGCCTTGATAAAAACTAAAGAGAGAAACAAAGCAAATTTGGATTGTAGCATGTGCTGATAGACAAAAAAGAAGCCTGTACACAAGCCGGAAAAAAAATTGTCACCCGCTCAGTGTGAATGCAACACACACGATCACCCAACGGTGTACTGATTTTAATAGCTGCACACGGACGTGATTGTACACTTATGACTGCTCAAATCATATTGAACTCACGCAATTTATTTTCGGGACGTTAAAAAAGACTACATTAGAAAATATTTCTCGTTAGAATCCATCTTGCACATTTATAAATCTGTCATTCGTCAGTGCGTTGAATATTGCTGCCATATCTGGTCTGGTGCTCCTACTATATATCTCAAGATTCCTGACAACATTCAAAGAAGGGTCTGTAATGTAATCGATCTTGACCTGCCATTTTGACTTTCTCAACAACACGATGTGGCGTCCATCCGTCTTTTCTACAAATATTTTCATGGCAACTGTTCTCGTGAGCCTTTTCTTCCTTGTTGCTCCGACTACATGAATTCACGCTGGCTACTCGATTGGAGATTATGTCTCACCATTTTACTGTTGAACCTATTAGATGCAATCGCCATTTCTGTTATGACAGTTTCTTTTCTTTCACTTCTCACTTGTGGAAGCTCCTTATTCCCTATCAACGAAAATCTTCAAAAAATTAAATACAATGTCGACGCCATCTTCTCTCTTCCCGAATCATTTTCCTTTATTGCCCTTTCTCCCACTTCTCCTCACTAAAGTCGTCTTAATCCCTTTCACTCCCTGTAACCCCTGCGTCCTCGTGGCAGTATCGTCTTGCTTGGGGGTGAAGCAATAAAAAAAACTAAATGTCAATGTGCGTAGGTGATGTGAACTCATCTCCGAGCAGCCAATGTAAACCACACATCTCACATCTTAATCTTTGCATGCGAGCGAGTTGTTGTCTCGGTGCCCGGCACTCTGCTTAGGTATGGCGGGTAAATCTTTTTCTGAGTTTGGCGTCTGATAGTCAGGTATCCGAACATTAGAGTAACTCCTAAGGAGGCTATCCCATCAGCAGGTGTATAATATCGGGACTGCTGAACTGCCATTTTGTGAATTGGATCTGGACTGTGCAGTAGTTTTCGGTGGGACCACTCGATGCTATGAACTGTACAGTTACGGCTAAACTCATTAGCATCTGATTCTGTCAGGTTTTACGTATGATATTTGGGGGTGTTTAGGTATTGCTACCTCGTCTCTTCACCTTTCCAGTATTCCTGTACCGTATATACTTGAGTATAGTTGCTAATTTTTATGATAGGGGGCGTACTATACAGAGGTAATATTTTTTTGAAGTGGTTAAAAATCATGCATTTTCCGGTGACAGGTTGCATTATACACAGGTAAGTGTTTTTTTTTTTTTTGATAGAGTAAAATTGATCCATTTTCGGTAACCGTGACCTACCTGGTATGCCTACACTCTCACGGTAACTTATCGGTACAGGTAAGCTTCTTTAGCCCACGTCCCGTGTTCTAGATTCTTTCTTTCTGATAATTCTTCATTTATATAAGGTTATTTGTTTATTTTAAGTAGCATACACAGTGGATGAAATTTTGCTGTTTCTCTAGCAAATGTCTTCATGTAGCGACAAAAGGGATGAAACTTAGACTACGCAGGAGTCAGGTCAAGAGTTTAGGAACTAACGTAGTCAGGCATTAGACAAAACAAAAGTACGGTATCTAAATATTTGTATCAGAAAATTTTACGGTAGGTGGTTTTTCTGATCATTTTGGAGTACCTTCGTACAAGAAAGAATAAAGACCATTTATTTGTTATAAAATATGCCCAGTACGGAAATATTTGACTACGGTAGGCCCATTAGTATTGATCAGAAGTTGGGGTCACATCATACACGAGCTATATGAAAAAAAAAAATTAAGT